AGATTACCTGAATATCCGGTTGGTTGTTTGTAACCACTCGGTTAATATTTTATACTATACACTACATATACCTATTAATAAAATATTATTTTAATATCATTTTAAAATTGTTAAAATTATTTTTCTTTAATTTATCTATTTTTTGTATTAGAATCTATGATGCATACATACGCTAAATGTATCAAATACTACATATATTTTAATATGTTATAACATTTATTTTGAAAATAATAGAATGATATGTGATATATGGATATTAAAAAATATAAATAATTCTTAAAAACATAATAAATATATAATTGTTATTGTTTGAACAGAATCTTCGAAAATCATGAAATATATTTTGGAATGGATTTTTCAGATTAAACTCTCTAAAATGCATATAGTATCTTATGAAATATGTTTATAAGAAATACGAAATGTGTTCCAAAAATAACTTTCTACAATACATGAAATACATTTGGAAAAAAGCTTTTCAGAACGGTTTTTTTTTCTTCTTCTTTTCCTACAACTTCTCTCACTCTTCTACAACAGTGGTGATAAAAATGGAGATAGCAACAAGAACAATGATAGTGTGGTGCAATAGTAAAGGGTATTTATATCTTTTTCTCTTATTATAAAAATACAGTTAGTAATTGTGGAGGTACAGAAAACAATATTAATACAAGTTACAAAATGCAAAAACTCTATATATAGAGGCCGAATGGCAAAAAAAAAGTGTGTGGCATTTCGGAAGTTTTATGAAATACCATGGTCAAAATTCAAAACGCATAGTTCAAAATGGTTAATTTCGGTTTCTACTTTTCCGTTTTTTCTAAATTGTTTTCTTAAAAAACATTGAATCAGATGCCAAAGATTTGATCAGCACCTGCTAACTATACACTGGGCCGCAGACGATCACTACAACGGTAGTAAGTTAAAAGATTTCGATCACACGTGGGGTGACGTTACACGTGTTGATTTGAAATAGTTTTGCATTTTTATTTTTCATTTGAAGTTGGAGGAATTTTCAATTTAAACGCTTTACCTCCCTAATGAAACCCTAGCGGTTAAAAAACAGAAGAAAAAAATAAACAGAAAAATAAAAATCAAAATTATTGGGAATTTCAATTTCGGGGATTCTATTAGGGTTTCGAATCCACAAGTCATTCTCAAACCCTAATCTGCCAATTCGCACTGGTGATCTTCTATGTCTGTGGGGAGAATCGATTGTTTTGTGGCATTCGGGATCAGGTTAGTAAATTTTCTGATAATTGTATTTTTTCGGTGTTAAAACTTTCCATGATTTTTCATAGTGTTTTTTTGATACAATAACGCAATGCATGGGGAGTTTGGTATATTGAATTTAGGTTTGTGTTGGTTGTGAGATTTTTGGTGATACCTTTGTGGTTTTGACGTTTCAGATCCAAGGAAAAGGGCCAGATATGTATGATGACATGTGACAATTAGGGGAATTTTGTTGTGGGCGTTTGTTATGTTGATTTGCCATGGAAAGCAGAACAGAGAACTCCAATGGCACTACAGTTCCCAAACAATCAAAATCTCTGGATCTTAAAAGTCTATATAAATCAAAATTGTCTCTAAACACTTCAAAGAAGAACATAAAGAGGATTAACAGTAGTAGTGGGAATGGTGATGAGAAGAGGAATAGAAAGAAGGCTAAAAGAGAAGTCTCTTTAAGTAGCTTAGAAAATGGTGATGGTAGCAGTGAGTTGAAGTTAGGGGTCAGTCAGAGATTGAATAGTAGTGTGTCAAATAAAGTTTCATTTGGAGTTTGTGGTGATGATTTTCACATTCCCAAGAGGAAGAGGAGTTTTATGCGGAAGAAAAAATCAGAGCCTGGGCAAGCATCAACTTTGGTGGAGCATCTCGATTGTAGAAGTGGCTATGTCCATCCTGTGCCAAAGTTAGGTAGTGATGATGATTTGGGCAGTGGGGTTGAATCTTACAAGACTAAGCATAAGAAAGAATTTGATGAATTTAATAAGGAAAATAGGAATAGTGATTCAAATTCAGTTCAAAATTTTAAGGAGAATGGGATTTGTGCATCTCATTCTGTTGTAAATATTGATGGTGGAGATTCTGCTTTGAAAAAGTCACGAAGGAAGAATAGGAAACGAAAGACTTCAGCTTTAGATACAACTAAGGTTTCGAAGGAGGTTGAACCTTTGGTTTCGAGTTGTAAAATATCTGATGATTTGCAAGAAGATGAAGAGGAAAATCTTGAGGAGAATGCAGCTAGGATGCTATCTTCAAGGTTTGATCCAAGCTGTACTGGATTTTCGACCAAAGGTTCAAATGGTTTGTCATTTTTTCAATCTTCTAGTCAAAGTATTGTTAACCGTGATTTGAAGTTTCAATCAGGTTCAGAATCTGCGTCAGCTGATACTGATGGCAGAGTTTTGAGGCCTAGGAAACAATATAAAAACAAAGGTAATTCCAGGAAGAGGCGCCATTTTTATGAAATTCTTTTAGGTGATGTAGATGTATACTGGGTACTGAACCGGAGAATTAAAATTTTTTGGCCTTTAGACCAGAGATGGTATTATGGCCTTGTGGATGATTACGATGAAGGAAGCAAGCTTTACCATATCAAATATGATGATCGGGATGTAGAATGGGTTAATCTACATACTGAGAGATTCAAACTCTTGTTACTTCGTAGTGAAGTTCCAGGAAATGCAAAAGGTGAAAGAGCTTTTACAAAACGTAGAAGTTCTGATCAACAGAAGGGTAGCAAATCCAGAAAAGAAAGGCAAAGAACAGAAGACAATACTGAGAATGCTCACCATGGTGGGAGCAGTATGGACTCAGAACCTATTATTTCATGGTTGGCTCGATCTTCTCATCGGTATATATCTTCTTTTCAAGGCATTAAGAAACAGAAAACTTCTGTCACACTTCCAAGTACAATGTCATCATTCTTATATGACGAACCTGTCACATCAAAGGGACAATTATGTAAGCATTCTCTGAAGGGTGTTGAAAATAATTTATCCAATGATTATGGATCACAGGATAAATTAAGTGATGATTTTAAGATGAAGTCTTCATTGCAAAGTGCCACTCGCAGGAAAGATGTAAAACAGCCTATTGTCTATTTCAGAAGGCGGATTCGAAAGCCTGCTCTAATACCCTCTCATATCTATGAAGAAAAGCATGCTATTAGAAGTGCATCTGGTTCTGTTTCACTTGACCATATGTTTGGGGTTGAGAATATGATGAATTCAAGGGATGACATGGATGAAGTTGAGGGCCCATTGTGCTTCACTTACAAGGCCGGAGTATCAAAAGTATTTTGGGACATGGAATCATTATTGTTCAGATTTGGCTTAAATTTTCCAAATTGTTTCATGTTGAATAATCATTTTGAATCTGAAAATTTGTGGTTGCTTTATCCCCTTTTTTTGCTCCAGTATGGTACAGTTATGACCAATTGGCCTAGAGTTTGTTTGGAGATGCTTTTTGTCGATAATGTGGTTGGGTTGAGATTTCTATTATTTGAAGGCTGCTTGAACATGGCTGTAGCCTTTGTCTTTTTTGTCCTTAGGTTATTTCATCAACCTGCCTGCCGAGGGAAGTATGTTGACTTGCAATTTCCATGTACATCTATTGGATTCAAGTTTTCTGGTCTTCATGTGATTAAGAAGCCGCTTGTTTTTGAGTTCTATAATTTCTCTGGAGTGAATAATTCTAAGTGGACGAACTTAGATTCAAAGCTTAAGAGGCATTGCCTTCTGAGTAAGAAGCTCCATCTTTCTGAATGCACATATGATAACATCCAGGCACTTCAAAATGGATCAAGTGGGTTGTCCATAACTTCTGTCAGTGGGTCCTCCGCAGTCAAGGTACTTGCTCCCCTTTTTCCTTTATATCATGATGGGTAACTTCATCTTTAACCCTCATTTTAAGATTTATTTGTCATGTTTAGTGCGTGTTACTGTAATTCAGCATTGTATATCAAATATTCCAAAAGTCACTGCAAGTTAGCTTATCTTGGGTTTTGTTGTGAATCAAATCATGCAACTTCTGCATGAACAGGTCATGCGGAGGGGCAGGCCAGGGATTAACATCATGGGTATTTCCAAAGTGTCTACTCAAGCTGATATTCATCAGTATTCTGATGTTGGTGAGAGGAAACTTCCTCCATTTACTCTTTCTTTTGCTGCAGCACCTACATTTTTTGTTTGTTTCCATCTCAAGTTGATGATGGAGCAGTCTGCAACTCATATTAGCTTTTCTGATCACGCACCGGAGTTTGATCAGGAGGACCCTAGTTTGGGAACCAATGGATGTACCAGCACCAATGGTTGCTCAAACCGGAATTCTGAAATTATCCCGAGGAAAGATATTGAGATTTTTTCCAATGGTGCTGCAAGTGATGGAGGGTCTTGTAATGACTCAGATCATCCCTCTACCTTTAGTTATCAAATTCTCTCTCAAAAGTACCAGAACATTGGTCCTACCAGTTTTGGTACTTCCATTTCCCATTTTTCTGAGAGGCTCGGCACAACTCACTTACCCAAATGGCAATCACACCATATGGAGCAAGGGTTAGGCTCTTTACCTTTGAGTTCTTTAGTTTGTCAAGATAAGGATGATGATGGTTCTCATTCTTTTATTGGTGATCTCAGTATCCAAATTCCTGCAGTTGATCAATTTGAGAAACCTGGTGGTGATGATGATGGTGATTTACGTGATGCTGAACACTCTCCTGATATCTCTTGGAATGGAGGCGTCATGCCAAGCTCTAATTTAACTGCTCGTAGAAATTCTTGGTATCGGAACCCGAATAGTTCCTCATCATTGGGATTTCAGTCTCATGTGTGGTCTGATGGAAAGGCTGATTCACTTTACAATGATTTTAACAGTGGACCTAAGAAACCACGCACACAAGTATCATACTCAGTGCCTTCTTCTGGTTATGAATTCAGTTCAAGGCCGAGAAACCATCATCAGAAAGGGCTTCCTCACAAACGAATTAGAAAGGCCAGTGAGAAGAAGTCATCAGATGTTGCCAGGGTCCCTGAAAAGAATTTTGAATGCGTATCTTGTGGTGCAAATGTCTTGATTACTCTTGGTGATAAGGGTTGGAGAGAATCTGGGGCCCATATTGTACTAGAGCTGTTTGACCACAATGAGTGGAGACTTTCTGTGAAACTTTTAGGAATTACTCGGTATTCATACAAAGCACATCAGTTTCTGCAGCCTGGATCAACAAATCGATACACACATGCAATGATGTGGAAAGGAGGGAAGGATTGGATCTTGGAATTTCCTGAAAGGAGTCAGTGGGCTCTTTTCAAGGAGATGCATGAGGAATGCTACAACCGTAACATCCGGGCCGCTTCAGTTAAAAATATACCTATTCCTGGTGTTCGCTTGATAGAAGAAAATGATGATAATGGATGTGAGGCAACTTTTGTTCGGAGCTTTATGTACTTCCAACAGGTTGAAACAGATGTTGAGATGGCTCTGGATCCATCCCGTGTTTTGTATGACATGGATAGCGAAGATGAGCAATGGATTGCAAATGCTCTAAATTCTGTAAAAGATAACAGTGACTTGAGTTGGATTTCAGAGGAGATGTTTGAGAAGACATTGGACATGTTTGAAAAGGCAGCATATACTAAGAAGCGTGACCAGTTTACTTCTAATGAGATAGAGGAACTCACGGTTGATGTTGGGCCTTTGTCTATTGTCAAAATCATATATGACCATTGGCAGGAGAGAAGGAAGAAGAGTGGAATGGCTTTAATACGGCAATTTCAGGTAATGTTCAAATCACGTTTCTTGTTTTTATTGTAATTATTTTGATTTTGGGAATATGTCTCTTCCTCCATATATTTGATGAATTTATATGAAAGACATGCTGGTTTTGCTGATATAAGAGTTGGAGAGGAGTAAGATATATTGTAATGGATTGATCTATTTTTTCTTACACTTAAAATATTATGGCTATCTTTTTCTTGAGGCCTTTCTATTAGGGAAAGTTTCCGAGCCTCTGAATAGTGATGCATGTTATTTGTTGTTCCACTTACTATTTTCTACACTTAAATTTCATTTTATGGCTTCCAGGTGAAAACCCTGCTACTACCTATTTGGATTTCTTACCTACTATTTGATATTTATTTAATTTGCAAATATTGGGTAATTTTTTTATTCTGACAAGTACTAACTAAACAGAATAAATTTAAACATGACTTATGCCGTATTAAAGCTGCCACATAATAAAACATGTTAGGAGAGAGTGATTTCTTACAACATTTTTTGGATACAACTTCAGAGAATTTATTTGAATTGCTACGGTAGAATAAGGGAAGTGGGACATTTTTATGTTTGACTTGTTAAAAGCATATGATTTTGTCCGTTTTACCTTGGCATTTCTCAACATCGTCTGTTTTCCTCTATACCTAATATGTATGCTTTGTTACTAACATGCCTGAAATTTCATCTCTGAATTATGTACTTTTCAGCCCCCTCTATGGGAAAGGTATCTGAAACAAGTGAGAGAGTGGGAGGTAGCCATGACAAAGAACAATACCCATTCCAATGCATGTGTGGACAGGGTTACAACTTTGGAGAAACCGGCCATGTTTGCTTTCTGTATGAAGCCTAGGGGTTTGGAATCAGTGAACAAGGGATTGAAGAATCGATCCCAAAAGAAGATTTCAGTATCTGGGCACGCAAACAGTAATCTAGATCAGGATGGCTTCCGTGAGTATTTGATTTACAAGCTTGGTTCTACATTTTTTAAACAAAATATTAACATTCAGCTTAACATGTAATTGTTTTGATCTCAGGAAGAAGACATAATGCCTTACCCTTTGGCGATGAAAAGTTCCTATACCAAGGCCATTATTACGATTCTTTTGATGAATCACCATTGCCTCTGACCTCACCAAGGATGTTGGTACCACGTGATGCTGGCAGCTTGAAATACCATCCTACCAGTAAAGGATCGGGTTACAGAAATCATGTCCCAAAATTTCACCAGTCTAGATATGATGTGCCTCATAACAGGCATCACCTGCTTGCTGGCCCCAAGAGGCAAGGGATTGAACAGTTGGATACTTCTGTCCTTGAGGAGTTAAGGCTACGAGATGCCGTGGCTGAGGCTCGTATTAAACGGCACATGGCTAAGTTGAAGAGAGATAGGGCTACAAGATTGCTATATAAAGCAGATGTAGCAATTCACAAGGCCATTACATCTCTAATGATTGCAGAAGCAATGAATGCTTCTTTGGACTCACTTGGTGAAATTAAAGCTTCGGAGTACTAATCTGGCAAATCACATGGCCTTTGGTTTTACTTGGTCAAGAGTTGTGGCCTTCTTTCCATTATTCGGGTGTTCAATAGAGAACTCAAATTCACGAGAATCGGGTTCAGAGTAACTGTAGCACTGATCTGCATGAATAGGTCTATGAAGTTTTGACTGCCTACCTATATTTGTACAGATTCCCTCCCCCTTCTCAGTTTCAAACATTCAATATAAAAATAGAAATCGGCCAATAATACAACACCACTTTGAATTGCAAGTAGTACTGTTTCTTTCATAGGTTTTAGATAATAGTGGAGTGGTGTATGTCTCGCAGTTGATCTTTCCATTCAATTTTTACCACTAGCACTGCTACATGCTGTGCTTATAAATACTGGAAAACACACATTTACCACTGCTACATGCTGTGCTTATAAATACTGGAAAACACACATTCAATTAGAAGTTTACAATTATAGAAATTGATCATAAATTCCTTGTAGATACGATATTGTACTATTTTTTTTTGAAAACTATAGGACTTGTTAAGAAAAAAGATTATTTATACCACAATCTCGTCAAGTTTTCTAGTGTCATTATCGGGGACTACAATGCCACTTTGTATACATGTTTATAAATTGTTAATTTTGAATAATTTTGTTTTAATTATAATCTCACAACTCTAGAAAAAACCACTAGGAAAAATGTGCAGAGACAAGAATGAAAAAAAACTTGAGTTGCATCAAACTTCCACTTAAAAAAATAACCATGCAGAAAGAAAAATCCACCCAGATAGACCTTGAGAGATTATGCCACACAACAAGGTCTCCATAACTTCTCCAACATTGTTGCTCCTCCCATTACTAAGACAATGAAGATGAAACAAGTTTTTCTTAGCATAATTATTGCTCATCCATTTATTAGAATAGGTAATGAATACCCTTACATATATTTGTCAACATTCTATGGGCTATGTGTACAATGGGAATTCCACTTGGTAAAGAAGTTGTATATATATGGCCTTTTTTCATTTTTTCTAACTAGAAAAGTCAGTCTAGTTACAATGTCACCTATATAAGAGCTTTATTAACTGAAGCATTGTTTAATAAAAAAAAAATTCCTTAACAATTTCTTTCCTCCATCTGCATAACGTTCAGGGAAAGGACCATGAGTCATTTTGTGAAGTTTGATTGTGATTCAAATCTCTACTTAGAAAATATCCAAATCATGGATTTGAAAACATGAGCAACTTAGAATATATTGAAATGGTTTGAAGTCTGGATCAAAGATGATATTAGATGAAGCTACAAGAGGAACCATTTTGTCACTTGATGTTGAGCATAAGTACTAATTATTATTTTTAGGGTTAAATATATTTTTAATTTCTAAATTTTGATACAAAATTAGAATTTGTTTATGTTTTAAACATTGATACAATTTCATTTCTAAACTTTAAAATGAATAAATATATTTTTTCTAACCCAACTAGGTTAACTTTTTCTTTGACCTATTAAATACATTTTAGGATGACATTTGAGTTGTTTACATCCTTTTAACAAGTTTTAGCTTAAATGTCCAACTGAAACACCTTTTAAAAGTCCAAAAAATTAATATCATTAGTTTAAAAGAACTATATTACTTTATTTTATAAAATTTTGAAATCAAAATACATTAAAGTTTGGAACAAGAATTTCAATTTCGCGTTTAAGTTTAAAGATTAAAAACATATTTAATCCTTATTTTTACTATACAATATTATTTTATATATAAATTAATCATTTTAAAAACGGAAAGCATATATAATCTTATTATTTTAAAGATAGAATAATTTATCGTGACATCTTTTGAAATATTATAATAATAATATAAAATAATGTACTAAAAGTAAACTATAAACATCAGGAAAATTATAATGTTTAAATACAATATAAAGAATATAACTTATTGATTAAACAAAGTGAGATAGAATACCAAGCCCAAAACATATCTTCATTTCTCATTAGATTGACAATTCTCTTATCTTCCTAATTCTTCACATATAATATAATTATGTTGTTTCTTTTTCCTCTCTCACCCTTCTCATACTATGTTAAGTTAGATTTTAAATGGTCTTTAAGATTGTGAGTGATTGAAGAGCGACAAGATATATTTCATATTAGAGATATGATATAATTGAACTTTAGATGCATTGATATGTTATTAAAAGTAGTGTATAATATCTGTTTGTTCTTTCCTTTTTTAATGATTGTTTATTGATTGGTTCCCTTTCTTCAATCAATTCCTTTTTTGTTTATAATTAGAAGTTGCTCGTGTTCTCAATCTCATGAAGAAATTGAAAAAAATTGTAAAATGATAAGTAGGAGTGATGGATATACTTTTTGTAATAGAGAACCCATAAGACTAGTCAACAAAAATAATATATCTATATTGGGCAACAACTATACCACTCAATACAATTTTTAAGAAATACTTATTATATTTCCTTAAGATTTTTAAATAATTGATATATTTTATGCATTATAGAAATATTTTATTATTTAAAATAGAATTTATTTTATGATGGAACTTTCTATTACGTTTATTTTTTAATTATTCAAAGTAAAAATAGCTTTAGTTTTGTGTAAAGTTAGTATGTATTTTAGTGTAAAAATAATATAAAAAAATTGTGTAAGTAAATTATTGAAGGTTTTGTTTACACTATTATAAATTAGATAGTTCAATTATACAAGAAGAAAAAAAAAAGCAGTCACCTGTCATCCATAGATTCGTCCATGCATTTACTCCTAAATAGTAAATGAATAAGTAATGAATTATGTTGAATTTGAATATAAATGCTCAAGTTAAGATAAAATAAAGTGATTTTGCATATGTTGCGTAGAAAATAAAAATAAAAATCTAGATACTATATTAGGAATACCAAAATGCATTATGGTGATATGAGTAATATTATTATATTTAAATGTTTTAATAAAGTCTTAGTCTTAGTACTATGAATATGAAAAATATTTTTAAGTAGAAAATCTAACTTTTGTAATGAATGTTAATTATTAACTAAGTCTAAAATACTCTATATTAAGTTAATGGTTAAAAAATAGAGATTAGTGAAATAGTAAAACTTAAGACCGATGTAGTATTATAAATAAAGTTTGGTTCATTGATAAAGAAAGCTAAATAAAAATTGAAATTACCATCTTTATCGGCAATTTTCCCTCCTTTACTTAAATAGCAAAATTTTCTGACATACAATCCCTAAATTCTCAAGTTTCTGAGATTTGTTTTGAGACCAATTTTCATTACCGCCAGGCTACTTATTTCTTATTCGGATTAGAGTATGTTCTCTCTAAAACCTTTGATTTTTCTTATAATATTATTGTTGTGAAATGCAACACAATAACATGATACATAATCGATTTGTAAGATACATGATTTACACTTTCAATTATGATAATTTATAAGATAAAGATAGTTTGGCAATTATGCAGATCATGCATCTTACAAGAAATTTGACATGATATATGAAGAAATTGTTATGTAAATCTAATATTTTGTATTTGATACATATATTGTATCAACTTTGCTTATAAAAGACAATGATTTGGGAATCATGTTAAAAACAATGACATAATCATAGTTTGATAAACATGATGTTATAAAATGTTCAAATCCATTGAGATGTTTTTACATTTAGAAAGCTAATTATGTTTTTTCACATATATAAAATTTTCTACATAGTTGCCTAGACACTTCAAAGGTAAGAATGTAATTTATTGTTTAAGAATGTAATTTATATACCAACAACTATTAATGATGCTTTGTCACATTATTATTTATTGTTATACTATTTATATAGTTCACATTTCATGGTCATCACATTCAAGTTAAAATATATCATGTTAAATATTATAGAACTTTTTTGTTTGATTATTTATAATCTTATAGAGTAAATCATTAAATTTAACTTTGCTTACTATCATTACAAAATGAGAAAAACAATCTGAGGTTTATGGTTATATGCAAAGTTGTTTTCACTTGTTATAATTTGACCAAAATTACTTTTTTTTTTTATGTTTATTGTTGTTAAGGTTTTGAGCAGTTCAAAATGAGAAGCCAGAAAACAGAAGAAGAAAGGGTTGAAAGAATAATTCGAAGTCTTTTAAAACTTCCCGAAAATAAAAGATGCATCAACTGCAATCTTTTGGTATGAAATTATACTTGGATTGTTACTGAAAATTTACTATTAATTATTCTTCATGACTAAATTATTTTTAAGCATACAAATTAAATGTCATATTTTTGAAGGTTAATAATAGCATATTGATATGTGATTTTAATTTGGGGCTTAACTCAACTATGCATCCAAGGGAAAGCCTATTAATTTTATTTTTTTTGTTAAATATGTATATAATAATTGTATATTGGGTCATATTCGTATAACATATGGACAAAAAAATGTGAATAAATCAATTTAAATTATTTGAGCATGTTCAAAGAAATTTATCACATGTATTGGTGAGGAGAATAAATTGCAATAGTTTTAATTATTTGAGAAGAGATCGAAGGAAATAAAGAAAATAAATTGTAAAAAGGAATCTTGAAAGAATTAGAGGTAAAGAAGCAATAGTCTTTCCTAGATTGTAAAAGTCCACGATTAGACAAAGTGGAATAGAATTTTCATACATGTTGTTAGAAGTCTTGTTTAAGACCATAAATGAACTTATTTAATTTGTAAAACAAAGTTTGAACCACTGCATTTATAATTCAAAAGAGTGTTCATATAAAGATATTTATTTAGAAAATTGTTGGATTATCCCTTGTATATATCAATCTTCTATGCTTTAATATATTTTTTTTATGAATACGAAGTGATACCTAATTTTGTGATGGATCTTGTTTTTGACTAAAAATAATTACACTAAACTTGTGTTTGGATAAAAATAAATCTAAGTAGAAAAAAAAAAGTGAAAAGGAGGTTGTTTGTATTAATAGAAAGATGAGATGAAAAGAAATGACAAAAAAGTTTATTAAAATTTCTAAAAGGTGTAATGAGTTTCATAAATTAAAAAAATGTTTTAATTAATAAAAATGTAAAATTATATTTTTATCCTTATATAAAAAATTATTTGAAAATAAAATATAAAATTAAAAAATGTTTTAATTAATTATTTATGATTTGTCATTGATTACCAAGTTAGGCTTATACTTGACAAAGATAATGTTGAATGCTCTAGATTATCAAAACTAAATGTGACACTTTAAAACACTAATGATCGATTTTCTTCTTGAAAATCTGTTTGTATATAAAAAATATTCTTTCCAATAGTATCTCCACCAAATCTCATGCATCATTTTCAAAAGGGGTTTGAACTTCTCATGAATTACATATACTTGTTTGATTCAACAAAAGTGGTTGTCTTACTTTGGATGAGAGGGTTTTTATAGAGTGCATTAATTTTCATGTGGAAAAGATATAGTGGTTTAAGTCACAATTGAATTGTATGTTTGGACTATTACATTGTTATGTAGAAAGAGTTGCATTTTAATTATAAATTATAACCGTTAAAATGATAAATGCTACATCTAATAGTTTTCAATATCCA